AGGGGTGGAGGTGGGGGAAGCTGTGGGGGAGGTGGTACAGGGGTGGACGGTACTGGGGGGGAGGCAGTACCAGCAGGGATGGGGAACTGACCACTGTGGGGACAGGCTGGTTGGAGTACTTTGCCTACGGGTGGGGCAGTCAGGCTGCTGTGGTGGAAGGGGGTGGTGCAGCGCGAGGGTTTGCGTCAGGGAGGGAGGCAGGCCAGTTGGGGATTCAGGCTGCTGTGGACAGTGGTCAGGGCCTTGTCGTGGGAGGGTCTGGGCCTGTGCTAAGTAGGGACTCAGGCTGCTGCAGGGGTGGGGACAGCCAGTTCCGGAAGAGGCCCTTCTGGCCAGTGAGGTAGGGCAGGGCCAGTGAAGGAGGCAGATGGAGCCGCCCCCCCCCCCAGTCCAGCCTAACGCACCCTGAGTCCCCACAGCCCACAGGGACACAGATCCCGGCTTCCAGGAGCACTACTTTGAACAGCTGCTGGACCACTTCAACTTTGAGAGGTTCGGCAACAAGACCTTCCGCCAGAGGTTCCTGCTCTTAGGTCTGCTTGCTGGTGGGCAGTGGGGGCCAGGGCAGGGACTCAGGGTGACCCAGAGGGCAGGGCCATCGACACTTGCAAGAGTCCCCCGCGGGGAGACCCCCGTGGGCTGATCCCTGCTTGCCTGCACCCACAGAGAAGTTCTGGAAGAAGGATGAGGGCCCCATATTCTTCTACACGGGGAATGAAGGAGACGTGTGGTCGTTTGCCAATAACTCGGGCTTCATCTTGGAGCTGGCGGCCCAGGAGGCGGCCCTGGTGGTCTTTGCAGAGCACGTGGGTATCAGGCTGGGGTCCCCAAGGGAGGTGGTCCTGCGGGCAGGTGGGTCACGGCCGACCATCATCCACAGCGGTACTACGGGAAGTCGTTGCCATTCGGCCCAGAGTCTACACATCGCGGGCACACAGAGCTGCTGACCGTGGAGCAGGCACTGGCAGACTTTGCTCGGCTGCTGCAGGCCCTGCGGATGCACCTGGGGGCCCAGGACACGCCTACAATCGCTTTTGGTGGCAGGTGGGCCTGTGGACAGGTCAGACAGGGCCAGCTCCTGTGGCTGGTACTGCCCACTCTGGGGCACATGCTTGACCAGCACCAACAGCCCAGCTCTACCCTTTGCTTCCCCCCAATACTGAGACTGAGGGCACGTGGGGTCCTGGGATTCTCTAGCTCACCATTACCTGACTCTTCAGCCTCACAGGCTGTCTGCTTCCCTAACCCCCTCCCACTGGCCCACATGCCCTATTTTAGGATGGGGAAATTCCTCCACTGTTGACCTAGAGATGAATGACCGTGGCAGGTGGGCATATCTGGGTGCCCATGCGTCTGGGGAAGTTCATAAAATTCTTCTTGGGGCATCCACATGCTTCTGAGGAGAGAGAGAATGTGGGGACTGAGAGTAGGGAATCTCAGGGGGAAAGCGGGGTGGTGTCCAGGACTGGGTGCATGCCCATCTGTGACCTGTTCTCCACATTATCCATGCCCAGTTATGGGGGCATACTAAGCACCTACATGCGGATGAAGTACCCCCACCTTGTGGCAGGCGCCCTGGCGGCCAGTGCGCCCCTCCTCGCAGTGGCTGGTCTTGGGGACTCCTATCAGTTCTTCCGGGATGTCACCACTGTGAGTGAGGCCCTCAGGCCTGGGAGGCTGGGGGACCACAGGGGAACTGAGAATACAACAGTGATTTCTACTCTGCAGGACTTTGAGGACCAGAGCCCCAACTGTGTCAAGGTTGTGCGGGAAGCCTTCCAGAAGATCAAGGACTTATTCTCACAGAAAGGTGAGGTGGGCCACCCTCCAGCCGCCAGTGGCCCCCTAGGCTCATCTGCAGCCTTGGTTCTCACACCTTCCAACAGATTATAACACTGTGGGCCAGAAGTTCGGTGTCTGCCAGTCGCTGTCCGACAAGGACCTGCCCCAGCTGTTTGCGTTTGCAAGGAATGCCTTCACAGTGCTGGCCATGATGGACTACCCTTACCCGACTGACTTCCTGGGCCCCCTTCCGGCCAACCCCGTCAAAGTGAGGGCCGTTGCTGGGAGGGGGCCAGACCCTGGGATCCAAGGGGCAGGTTGCGGTGAGGGGCTGTTGGCTGAGAGGACCCACTCCTGAGGAGCCCCTTCCTCCCAGGCCGGCTGTGATCGGCTGCGGGAGGAGAGCAACAGCATTGCGGGGCTCCGCGCACTGGTGGGTGAGTCTGGGTCAGGAAAGGTGGACGTGCTGCCTCCAGGGGGTGGGACTGGGGCACTGCTCAAGGGATCTCTGGAGTCCTAGAGAAGGATCCTTGTCCCCTCAGGCACACAGACCTCACGTCCCACAGGGCATGACCCTTGGGTGAGGCAAGGGTGCTTCCTGGGGCCCTCAGCACAGTGCCCTCGCACCCCCCTCCCCAGGGCTGCTGTACAATGCCTCGGGGTCCGAGCCCTGCTACGACATCTACCAGCAGTACCGCAGCTGCGCAGACCCCACGGGCTGCGGCTCGGGCAGCGACTCACAGGCGTGGGATTACCAGGTAGAGGGGACTGGGGTGGGCCAGCGCTGGCCGATCTCCATGCCATGGCCATGCAGTCGTGTCTTGACCTCTTGGGTGTGTGCCCACAGGCCTGCACGCAGATCAGCCTCACCTTTGCAAGCAACAATGTGACGGACATGTTTCCTGAGCTCGAGTTCTCGGAGGAGCAGCGCCAGCAGTACTGCATGGAAACGTGGGGCGTGTGGCCTCGATCTGACTGGCTGCGGACCAACTTTGGGGGCGCAGGTACGGCCGGCGTGGGGCAGCACCCTGCCTACTGCATGGGGTCGGCCCTACCCTGTCCCTGTCAGGGCCTGATGCCCACCTTGACCCTAAGAGCAGACCCTGACCGCCACCCACTCTCCCTGTGGCCCCCTCATTGCCCTGCTCTTTCAGACCTCAAAGCCTACAGTAACATCATCTTCTCCAACGGTGACCTGGACCCATGGGCAGGAGGCGGGGTGAGTGCGGGGCCTGGCTGAAGGGACTCTGCAGGACTCATTTTGATTGCTGACCTGTGACTTTTCAGACTGCCTCCATTATCCTTGGCTGGTGCCAGATTTCTGCCTGTTTTGCTTCTCTTCCTGAATTGAACCTGGGTGTCCACCCAGTAGCTGCCCTGTCCTGTCTGCTGTGTGCTGTGGCTATGCACTTCTGTTACAGCTTTGGCTGGACTTGAGCTGGGCTGGACAGCAGTGGATGTTCTTGTCAGCTCATGTATTTCTCTCAATGACACAGATACACAACAATCTGAGCGCCTCAGTCGTTGCTATTACCATCGAGGGTGGAGCCCACCACCTGGATCTCAGGTACAGTCCCACCCCGCCATGGGGTCGGGGGGACAAGACTGTCTCCACACTCTGTTCTTAGCTTCGGTGGTAGGTGCGTGGGCTCACCATCTGGCCTTGCTCTTCAGGGGGTCCAACCCAGCAGACCCTGTGTCAGTCATGGAGGCCCGGAAACTAGAAGCCACCCTCATTCACGAGTGGGTGAAGGTGGCCAAGTGGGAGCTGAGCTCTTCCTGGCCTCAGTAGGCCCTGGGCTGCACGTCCTGTGCCTGTCACCAGAACGGCAGCATGGGAAAAGCTGTGCCCCCCCCCCAGCCCCTCTCCTTGCAGGCTGGTGGGATTGACTGAGGGAGTGCCCCACCCCAGCCAAGGCTGGACCCACTTGAGGGAGGCGGGGCTCCTAATAAAGCTGCAGGGTGTTGGTCAAGAGCTGCTTCTCTCTGGGGAGGGACGAGTGGCCCAGGGCCCTGGATACCAAGTCGGCAACTGATAGGCTCTGAGCACCCTGGGAGGGAACTTGGCACCTCCCCCTTCCCTACAACCCCAGGTGCACCCCGAACTTGGGTGCTGACACCCACCAGCCACACGTTCCACTTCTGCCCTTCTTCCTGGGGCAATGAACACACACGGCAAGCTCCTGAAATAAGTGATCCGTTTAATAAAACATAGAATCCGGAAGTCTAGCTTTTGGTCATCTAGGATAACAGGACACTCTGCTGTGTGGGGTGAGGCTGCAGCTGCACAGGCAGGCACCCCTGTGAGCAGCATGTGCCCCAAGGCTGGAAATGGGTGGCTTCACTGAGACAGTGCAGATCCACTGAGGCTCAGGACCGAGACTGAAGGGCCACCCCATGTTCTGTGCAGGAGTCACCCCTCCACACAGTGACCAGCAGTCTGCTGCACTCAGGCACAGTCCACAGAGGACAAAGGGTCTGGTGTGTAGGCCGCTTTTACACCGGGGTGAGGCTAAGGGAAGGGCAGACATGGAAGGGGCCAGCTATATCACTCTCCAGGGTCCCTGTCCCAGAGAGCAGGGACACAGCCCGACCTGGAGGTCATGGCCACATCCAAGGCAGTTCCCCATCCCACCCACCTGGGTGCAGGGCCTGGCAGATGCCCCTCCACATCTCTGCCCTGAGCATGGCAACAGCACTGCCCTCCCCACCCCCCACATGCTCTGGACATGGTCCACTTGGCCTGTTCAAGAGCAGATCCTTTGTCCTGCCTGGAAGGGCCCCGCTCGGCTGGGCAGCTGGGAATCCCTGAGTCCGACGTGTAAACACGAGAGCCAGCCCTGAGCAGCTCTGAGCACGCTGTCCCATGGAGCACAGACACCACAAGGCCCACAGGCTGGATTCCCACAGGCCAGGTGGCTGGAGTCGGCCTGTGTCCTGAGCCCTGCAGACCCAAGGTCACAGCTTTGGAATCCCATCACAATTCATGTGGTCTCAAGGAAGGAGGACAGGGCCACAGGGCTGGGCACCCAGGTCAACGCACACCTGCTGTATTTATGCTCCCACGTTCCTGTACCTCCTGGTCTGGAGGTGCAGATGGGAAGGAGCCCAGAGCTGCTGCCCCGAGACCAGTGACTGGCCCTCAGAGCATCTACATAGCTGCCCACTGGGCAGCATCCCAGGCTGACTGGGATCCTGAGGGCCGACATGACCAGCGGGAGTCCCACGGTAAGGCTGAGGACGAGACTCCGCCCACGGCGCGTCCAGCCTCCCAGTCAGGTGGCCTTTGCCCACTGCTAGTCAGGGTCCCTGGGCCCTATGTCACAGTCCAGATGGGCAGGGGGTGGGCCTCTGTGTTGAACACGTAGGTGTCCAGGCTGAGCAGATTTGGGTCATCAGAAAAAAGCAGGTACAGGTATTTCAGTGTCTCCCCCAGAAAGAAGCTCTCCATCTTGTCCCTGGGGTCCGGCTTCTGGGGATCCTGGACGTTGTTGATAGAAGAGTAGCCACCTGTGGGGACCTGCGCAGGCACCAAGGCCAGAGTCAGCAGCTCTCAGACACCCCTCCTCCCGTTTTAGACTGGGCCCTTGGAAAACGCCAACCTTCAATGAACTTCCACCCCCCACAAGCACCTAACCCCAAATGTGTCCACCACCCCGAGCGTCCATCCCTCATGAGCTATCCAAGTGTCCCAGCATTCCGTGAGTGTCCCCCAGCCCGTGGGCATCAGCTCTGCAGGGTGTCCACACAGCTCCCTGAGACATCTGTTCTCGCATTTCTATGCCCACCTCACCCCCCGAGCATCTGCACAAGCGGCCTGGCGCCCACAGGCCTGGAGCCTCACCCTGGTGTAGGCGTTGAAGCTCTGCAGGATCTCCCAGCCCCAGGCCTGGTACTTGCTGTCCCCGGTGAGGCGGTACAGGTAGAACAGGCTCTCCACCGTCTCGGGCCTCAGCAGGTTGTGCCTGTCTGCTGGCTGTGGGGAAAAGCTGCCTCAGAGCTGGCACTGGCTCCTGGGCGTCCCGTCCCGGGCGTCCCGGGGCTCGAGAGCTCACCTTGACCTCCACGTCCTGGTGGCCCTCCTGGGCGACCATGTTGAAATGGGCGATCTCCGGGCTCAGCCCCGTTTTCATCTGGCGGTTCATCTGGTAGCAGGTTTCCATGAGCTCCTTGGCCAGGACCATGTGCTCAGCGGGCAGCCCGTGGTGGGCACCCAAGGCCAGGGTCCCGGGCAGGAAGCACACCAGGTGGTCCTGGAAACCAGAGGGTCCCTAAGCACATGCACAGAGCCACCTGTGTCCACTTGGGAGGTGGAACTTGGACCAGCTCCAGCCGGGCTGCTCTATCACCCGTCCCTCTGCTGGTGTCAGTCTTCCCAAGGACAGGCTGGCAGCACCTGGGCCAGCCCCATCTAGGAGGCCAGGCAGCCCCCAGCACCCCTGCAGTCACCACTCACCATCTTGGCGCTGAAGCGGCCGTGAGCCAGCTCGCCAATGAAGGTGAGCTTGCTGGGCTCCGAGTGCTGCAGCAAGTGCCTCCTGATGCCCTCGATGGCCTCCATGTAGTCTTCCAGGAGCCTGTGGTGAGGCCATGCCTTTAGGACCCAGGGCCCACCCCTGCACCAGGTCAGGGTCCCACACCAGGTCGGGGAGACTCACTGTGTCTCCTTTTTCCCCCCCTGGATCCACTGTTTCAGGAGGTACTCGTAGTAGCTGTCAGCCCTGGCACCCAGTGTAAACACTCCCAGGTGTGTGAAGTGGCCACTGTGGGTGTTAATGAACATAGGGACCAGCCCGTCCTTCTTTCCAGACAACGAATGGACACGCCGTGTCACCTCCTCCACAGCCTCCTGCAATGAGAAGATAGCATTAAAGGGCTGGGGGGAGCTGCCAGGAGCTGGGGGACTACCAGCTGTAGGGAGGGCTGCCAGGAGCTGTAGGGGCTGAAGATGGTGGTGGCTAAACAGGACTATGGGGACTGTCAGGGTCTGTGGAGCTCTGTACAGGGCTGAGTGCAGCTGTGGGGGGTGAAGTGGGAGTGCAGGGGGGCTGGACAGGGGGGATGTAGGGCTAAACTGTAGTGAGATTAAGCAGGGCTGACCGGGGCATCGAATAGGGCTGTGGGGGGCCATGGGGGGCTAAGTGATGTGTGGAGCTGAGCAGGGCTGAACAGACCTGTAGGGGGGCTGTGTGGGACTGTAGGGGGCTGAGTGGTGATGTGGGGAGCTGAACAGGGTTGTTTGGGGCTGTTGGGGGCATGCTGAGCAGGGCTGTGCAGGACGGAGGGCCACCCTCCCAGAACTGATCTACTCTCAAGAGGAGGCAGTGGAAGGACTCTGGCACTTCCTGCCTCTCATCCTGCCATGCATCTGATGGCCCCAAGGGACCAGGGACAGAGCTGCACCCTGGTCTACCCCACCCTGTGGAAGGACGCCAGATACAACTTGGGTCCTGCATGTGGGCATCAGCAAGGCTTGGGTTGTGTGAACCACACACCATCAAAGGCGATGCTCTGAGTGTCTGTGGGCCATGTGAATGGCACATGTTCACTGTCCCTAAGGCCCTGTCACTCACCTCAGCCCCCCTGATGCCCTTACACAAACCGTCACACAGAACAAAGGAGCAAGGCATGGGCAGGTGCAGGCAGCAGTAGATAGTGCTCCACACAGCACAGCCTACGAGGCCAGGCACACTCTCCAAAAAGCCATCCTCCATCTCCAACAGGACAATTAAGGAAAGACCTGAAAGTGAACTGAACAAGAAGTGCTGGACCTGCCCCACAACGCAAGCCCACAGCCACTGCTGAGCCGGCACGCTCAAGGAATGGGGCGCTGGGGGGTTTGAAAAGATGGCGTTCCCTGACTAAATCTAGGACAAAGCAAGAGCAGTGAAGACGGTGGACTGACAGTGTCATTAAAGACACACGGACACTGCATTTTCACTATAAACAGCCACGAAGCCCTGGAGAAGACTGCTTGCTGCCAGCAGCCTTTCCCATCATGCCCAGATGAGTGGATTCTGACACAGTGACCCCACAGGACAGTGGACAGAAGGTTTCTGAGTTTGGAGCTCTCCCGGGAAGCAGACTCCCTCCTTCTCCTGCAGAGAGGCAGGAGGGTCCAAACCACTGCGGTGTGTGTCCATGTGCTGTGCTGCCTGCCTATGAGCCTGCCAGGCCTTCGGGCCTCCTCCTCAGCCTGCCCAGGACACCTGACTCTGCCTCTGGGCTGACTCCTGATGCCTGGCCTCCAGCTGGCCTCAGATAATCAGCTTTCACAGGAGCAGCTGCCTGTCCTCCTGAGTGCTGGCTGGTGGATGTGAACCCCTGACATGATGGTTAGCAGCATCACCCCTCACGTACAACAGCTCCTGACAGCTTCCCCAGGGCGTAAGGGGGAACGGTGCAGCTGCTGAGGGAAGAGCTTGGCGTGTCCTTGAGATGCCGCTGCTCTCCCGAGTGTGCACCCAGCAAGCATGCAAGGATGCAGCAGGACCCGGGCTGCAAGGTGCCCTCCCGCTCTGCTCGCCAGAGACATGGGTGAGAGCCACACGCCCAGCAGGGACTTGGCTCACACTTGGGTGGGCAAACAGCCCTCCCACCTACACACATACACAGAGTGTGGAAAAAACAAATCCATACACGGATAAACACAGCATCACCATCCTACACAAACACAGCCCGAGTGGACAAGACACTGTCCACCTACACACACAAAATGAAGAACCAACCCATACTCGGGACAAACACAGCACTGCCCACCTACACAACCAGCAAGGAGGCAAGAACTGGGCTCCAGTGGGCGCCACAGAGCAACAACCCCAGCGGGACTCGGTGGACGCCCACCAAGGCTGTGCTTCAGCCCTCCCGTGTCACCTACAGGTGTGGCAACGAGGCCCCGAGAAAGCGCCCTTGGCTGCAGGCAGTCTCTCGACCTACCTTGAACTGCTCATTTCCCGTGAGTCGGGACAATTCCCGAAACTCGAGCTGGATGCTGGTCACCTCGGCCACCGTGCTGTCGGAGGTCCAGCGGGGAGGGTGGGCATTGCCAGTGCCAATGTTCACATCAGAGAAGGGGATTTTCGAGGGGGTCTTGAATGCAGGCATCAGACGCTGTCCAAAATCTTTCTGAGGGGAGAGAGCACAGCCCCTTGTTCAGGCCCCATTTCTCCATCCTCTTGGGTCACCTGCGCCACCCACCGAGGGCAGGGAAGATGCTGGAGTCAGCAAGCTCAGGGTCAGCTGTGGGCGCCTCGTCAGACATGCACAGCCTGAACTGAGGCTCAGAAGGGCAGTGATGACAACAGGGAGAGGCCACTCTCCCTGAGCACTTGCAGGTCGCTGGCTACTGCGGAGCGGCTAGGCACTCACGGCTTTCTCCAGGAAGAGGCTGTCTCCCGTCAGGTGGTAGGTGCTTAGCAGCCCCCCCAGGATCCGGATCGTGCTCTCAAACAGGTTGACGTCCACGTCCTTCTGGAACCATAGCTTAGTAGACACCCACCTCCTGGCCTCTTCAAACTCTACAACACAAACAGCGCGGTCACACGAGTGAGGAGCCACTGGCCCTCGCCCACTTCCAGGTCTACCTGAGCCCCGTGCAATCACTCCTGCAGGGTTTCAGTGTCACTTTTAACTCCAGGGGTGAACTCTGTACAGAGAGGAGGAATCACCAATGTGTTAAGTCCACATGGTTTCCAAACAGAGGCCACCACACAGCCTGCTCAGAACACTGGAAGCAAATGTTCCAAATATTCCTTCAGAGGAACCAATGTGGCCTCAGGGGCCCAGCAACAAACGTGGTCAGCACTAGCCTCTAACACAAACGGGCAGTCCTCGGAGAGGGAGATCATGCTTAGAAAGACAGAGAGACAGTGAAGGAGAGGAGGACGCTCAACCCGGTGGACTGACACAGTGACTGTGGCAACGGGCTCGAGCGTGTCAGACTTGAGGATGGAACAGGACAGGGTTCAGATCTGCTGTTCATACTCGACGCAGTAGCACCCATCACCATCTGTCCTGAAGGAGGGGAACCAGGTTGCTGCTGAGGCAGTGACAGTGAAACTCCGTCCCATGTACTCTGGGCCCCATCAGGAGAGGCTGGTCCTCAGAAACAAGACATTGTGCTGGGAAGGCAGAGGGTCAGAGGAGACAAAGACCCCCAACAGGACGGATCGACAAAGCGTCTGTGACAATGGGATCAAGGACGTCGCAGATCATGAAGACAGTGCAGCAGGACCCAGTTCAGATCTGTATTCACAGCTTCAGGTTGCACCTCTGAATCTTACTTGACCCAATGACACTTACCAGCAGCTGCTACAGAGAAAGTCTGGTTCCCTAAAGGTTTACAGCCACAGAAACCAGCTTGTGGGCCATTCCACTGTGTCCCGCAGGACGACCACAGTCAGAACCAGCCTGGGGCAATGCTGGTGAGCCTGGTTTCCTAGACCCGGCACACGCAGCCTAGAACCCACAAGCTGCAGGTCTGGAGCCAACACTATGGAGAGACTTGATCTGCAAATCTGGACACAGCTTTACTGCAGGGGTCAGCCCCACCCTGCCCCTCAGAAGCTGTGGACACAGATGTGATGTAGCGGTCAGCCCTACTCCACGCCCTTAGACACTGTGGACACAGACCTCATGTGGGGACACCCAGACCCCACCCCCGCAGACCCAGTCCAGGCTCAGCAAGTACCTTGGGTCAGGCCCAGAATCCACATGGTGTCCAGAGCATCAACCAGGGTGAGTCCAAGGCCAAACCACTCGCTGAAGGATCTGGACAGGGGCTTCAGCTCATCACGGCCCCACGCATACTTGCAGTAGCCCTTCCACGCGTGACGGAAGGCATCCACCACGGCCTCCTGCCGCTTGTTCGGGGGCGCTGCAGGGGCAACAAGAGCGGCTTGTGGACGTGCCCCTCCCTCTGGTGCCGTCCACACGAGGGTGGTCTTCACTGCTGGGGCCAGGGACCCAGCCCGGAGCTGCCACCGGACCAGAGCACCTGCCCCTGTCCCGTCCAGCTGTCAGGAAATTGCCCATGGAGCCGACCTCGCACTGCGGGTACTGGGCAGACGTCCTGGGCATCCCCTCAGGCAAGCAGAGTCCACAGGGGTGTGGTGAAGTATGGGAAGCATCAAACATTGATAAGGACACCCTAAACGTGTAGCCTCAAGTTCTGTCGAGCCAGCGCCCAGGACAAAGGAGGCTGGTGCCCCTATGGAACCCAGTATCCACACCACAAGGGGCGTGCCCTATCTGGAAGCACAGTGTCCAGGCTGCTGCTACACTGAGGTCCTCTGAACTCAGGATGCAGGGCCTGAAGTGAGCCACCTCGGGGGCTCAGGTCACGTCAGCTGGACATGGGGCATCAAAGGGCCTCCTTCTCTGGGACTCCGCACCTGCTGACTTTTCTCACTAGCCCTCAGGTGCTTGCACAGGACAGTGTTGTTCACCCGAGACAGCCATCACTCAGTAATCCTAACAGAAAAGGAAGCACTGCCCCTTCGCGCCCTCCCTAAGCTCATGGAAGTGTTCAGCTGTCCTTCCAGCATGAACACGCTGCCTGGCACAGCCCACATTAAAGGGAGCGCTCCTCTGCTCCAGCCTCCAAGTCCGTCGCTGAGACTACAGCATGTGCCAGGAGGGTAATTTTTGTTAAGGTTTTGAGAACAACAAAAGGCTGAGTAGTTCTCACAAGGACGGTGAGCACGTTCTGGCCTGTTGGTGAGGTTCCTGCAGTGTTCTGGTCCCCACCCTACACAAGTGCTGGGTTAGTAGTGCAAGGCTGTGGGAGGGCCTGGAGCCCAAGTATCAACGCTCTGTGGACAGACGGTGTCCTCTAGGACTGACGGCCGCACAAGGCAGACAGTGCAACAGTGAAGAATGAACAGTGTCTATACGCCCAACTAGAATGTTCCCAATGAATTACGTCAGGCAAAGCGGCAACTGGACGCCCTGCCCACCCCTGCTGGCTGGTGTGCCGAAGCCTCTGGTCCCCTTCTGTTTCCTCTAGCTGGCTGGCAACTCCAGCTCCAGTCACACTTCCTGGCCCTACACCCGCCAAGGACACTGTGAAAAAGAGAAAGGTACAGCGGATTGTAAGAGCTGGCCTCGAGGGGTGTGCTGGAGAGGAGCAGGCTTTTGTGAGGCTGAGCATGGCCACATCCCAGCTTGGTGCAGACTCACTCAGCCTCTCACATCGGCGCTGTGGGATACTTGCGCAGGTGGTCTCACAGGCCCAAGACCCAGGAAACAAGCCACCTCTGTTGGTTAGAACTGGTGGTTCCTGCCTCCTTCAGAGTGGGGATGACTCAAGGCTGGGCAGTCCTACCCATGGCCCAGCTGTGTGACCCCTCCATGAAGCTATCACCAGCCAGTCTCCTCTACTCTCGTAGCACCTCTGGGCACTTCACTGGCTGGTTCGTGCCCAGACCACCTCTGTGTAGATGTGCACAAGCACACAAGCACCTCGAGCTTCACTGTGAACCTCTCTGAGTTGGTCTGCTGACCACTTCTGCTAACATCCACGGGCTGGCTGTCCATTTGAAATGCCCACAAGCCCTCTTTGCCCCTAGCAGTATGGCTGTGGGTCTGCCTCGGGGCCCCACCACAGCAAGTTGGTGCTTTCCACAGAGGCCTCAGCCTTTCCGTCTGTACAGTGGGCACAGGAGGGCCAGGCACAGGAGGCACTGTGATGGTGTCACCACCCTGTGAGGCTGGGATGTGGACAGGGCTATGATGCTCGCACCGAGTGGAGACTCCTGTGTCCCCAGACAGCCTCCTGTCACTGTGCAGATCTGGGACAGGGTGTAAGGCCCAAAGTCTTCCTGGGGTGGAGTTAGGTGCAGGGGCCCAGCAATTGTGTCTGCAGGGACTTTGAGCAAACACCTAGTCTGCCCGGGCATCACTAGTGCACACTGAAGATACCAGCTGTCCATGAAGTGGAAGAGGCCTCACCTGATGCTCTCTGAGTCCTGGCCTCTGGGGCTGGCCGCTGGGTCTGGACATCCACTCTCCTCGACGGGGTCTCCGTACCCTGCTCAGGCTCGATCACGGCTCCTCTCCAGCTTCAGCAGACAGTGAGAAGTTGCTCAGCACTGTGGTCCCACAAGGACACTGTCCATTTGCACAGGGACCCCAGGCACTGCCCCAGGTGTCCTTGCTGGCCCATTATGTCCAAAGCAACCACAGTCCAGCACCAGCCCCACTCCCAGCACGTCCATCCCAGGGAAGGGCCAGTTCTGGTGGGGATGGCCCAAGGCCCCAGTGCAGAGGGCTCTTCTCAGCCTCGCAAGCAGAGTAGGGCTATGTCCCCCTCAGTGTTCCGCTTCTGCCCCAGGCCTTCTGCCCTGGCTTGTAGGCGGGAACTCCCACACAGCACCCTGCTGGTGGTCATACCCAGGGGGACATACCTAATGACAGTTCTCTGCTGGTGTGGCTCTTCCCCATGGGTATCGCTTAGCTGTGCTCTCCCCTGCTCCACACCATCCTGGGTCCTGGCCTTCCCATCTTTTACCGGGGCTTTGATCTGCAGGCTGGGTGGTGCCCTTCGCAAGTGCTTCCGAGACTTCTGTATTAAGACCACGTCATAAGGGATGCTTGCACAGTACAAAGCTGCCTACAAAGACACACACGTCTACACAAAAGACACAGATGCATGTGTACACACATACTACCCAGATGCACATACATGGACATACACACATACGGACACATACTCACACACAGATTAAGGACATGTGTACGTGCACACACACGAAAACACACCAACGTGGACAAGCGCGCACACACACCCATACACCCAGATACCCATCCATCCAGATGTGTACATGGACCCACAGACAGACACACACACACGGAAACCCACAGAGACACACGGCATACAGACCCACAGACACGGATGCACACCCAAGGATGCAAACATTCATGGACACACACACACAGATACACTGGCCACTCCAGCCCTGAAACAGGGTCCACACTTCAGCTTGGATGTCACAGGATGAACATGGGGCAGGAGGGTCAGATCAAAGACCCTCATGGAAAGACTCAGAGTAGTGAGGCCACCCTTAGGGCTACACCCCCAGCCCCAAGTCTTCACAGCCACTCAGCTCAGCCCTGCTCCCAGTGCTGTGCTACCAGAAACCACAAGGGGCGGCTCCACCCCAGAAACATGCTCTCTCAGAGGCCAGGGACTGGACGTGAGGACTCGGGGTGCCCATGCTGGGTCTGCTCCCTGCTCCTCCTCCTGTACCCTACAATCCACCATCCATCGCTCTCGGCTCCCTTGTTAAGGCTCCTTTCTATCTCAGAAGAGACACCCCTCACAGTAAACCTGCCTCATTATCACAAAGAGCCTTGAGGCCTGGAGGTGAGGTTAGAATCAAAGAGCGCCAACATCACAGAGGGAACCTTGTGCCCAGCCCAAGCTCCCACCTTAAGCCGTGCTGATGTGGCTGGGCTGGGCCCCTCAGTCTGCTGCAGCCTCCACCATACGTGGCCTAAATCCCATGTCAAGAGGGTTAGCGAGGCAGAACACAACCCACAGGGCTCGTCCACATTCTTTACAGAAACAGAGACACCGGTAGAGAGGAACCTGCCTCGCAGAGAGGTGACCAGGAGTGGGGAGCAGCCACGCTGAGAAGCCCCCTCCAGCAGGAGACTACACAGCGGGGCGCTGGCGCCAGCACCCAGAAACCAAGGGGGAGAGCATGTTCCCCAACACCCCCGTGGGGGCGCGGCTCCAGCACCATGAGGAAAACAAAGCAGAGGTCTAGATTGTTTCCAAGTCTTGGTGGTTTCTGAGGTGGGTGCATGTGGGCAGAGCCAGCCGGATCCTGTTTTCACTGACAGCGACAGTATAACTGCAGGGACGTCTGCATGGACAGGAAGTGTGCGTGACCAGGCTGACCATGGGGCCAGGATGGGGGGGCAGGTGTGAACAGAGGGGAGGGAGAGTGCTTGCTTGCACGTACAGGAAGTATGTGTGACTGGACTGACCACAGGCTAGGATGAGGGTCAGGTGTGAACACAGCCCTGTGGTGGGGCCCTGCATGGACAGAAGTATCTGTGACTGCTGGGCTGAGCTGATGATGAGGTGCGGGTGTGAACACAGCCCGGGGGGGACCCCTGTGTGAACAGGAAGCACCTGTGACAGCTGGGTGAGCTGATGAGGGCGGCGACTGTGAGCGCAGTGCTTCACTCATTACAGCAGGCAAGTACAGGTATTTTTTAAAAAACCATGCTCCACCTTTACAAGTACATACAAATGATTCTCCAATGACCATTCTCACTCTAACTGCACTCTGTCACTTGGAGCTGACCTTCTAGAAGGTTTCCATGAGGCCTGAAACTGCTCAGACAGAACCCATCTCTTTTCCCCGGAATCGCCACGTCAGCACCAGAAGCTCCCCTTCAAGGAGGGAAGTGAATGAACACAGAGATATGCTTTGCTTTCAAGCCCGTTGCTCAACATTTACAACGAAAACTGCCAGTCTGGAAGCCCTGGCTTTGGCTATAACCATGGCCTGGAGGCGTCGAGACCTCTAACCCAATGAGAGCAGTCAGCATGCCTCCAACCTCCAGCCAGGACACAGCAGGCCCCAAGTACTTACTCTGCCTTGTTAGGTGCCTGCGAGCTGACCAGGACTCACAGCCACCGTCGAACAACAGATCGGAACCATCCCTGATCCTGCGCCACCCCCAAGATCCTCCAGCCAACTGTTGGTCACTACGTCAACCCATCTCCTTTCAACTCTCCACTCTCCATCTTCCCAGCAGGATGTCCTTTCCCAAGGGTCACCACCCCTGCCTGTAATGAGCACCCCGGCCGCACTTCCTGCAGACAGGCTGGCTTGTTATTCTGGCATCAGTACCGGGCACACCATGCTCTGGCAGAGTCCACCCACTCCTCCCGTGGGAGCAGCTAGAAGCAGCCCATGGAGCGATTCACTGCAACAGCTCACACTAACACGAACCACTTTTGAGATTTTGTTTGCAGGCAAAACACTTTTTTATAAATTTTTATTGTGTGTGTGTGTACCGTCAAATCAGATCTGACTGGTACAGGAGGAGATTGTCCCTCTTTTGCCGGCAGAGCATCTGGTGGATTTGAACCGTGTGCCTCTGGGATTGCAATGCAGCTTCCTGCCACTAGGCCACCAGAGCTCCCCTGGCAAAACACTTTTGTAAATGCTTTACAGCTTTAAATATTCTGGTCATGATCACACAATCTCAACGGTAGGCTGCACCCCCTTTCTCCCATAGCTGATGTGTTCAGATTGCCAGCTCGGCAACTGGCAGTCCAACCCTTCCACTAGCGAAAGCCCACTGCTGCCCAGCTGCCCCTGACCTGTTGTTGGGGGCTGAGGCTCGACTCCTAGCAGCCCTGAGAACAACAGAGCGGGTCAGCCGAGTCCTATGTCCCCTCACAGCGTCACAGTCAGTCAGTCCACTGGACAGAACAGGGCGGCCTGTGCTTTCGGGTCCTCTACTTTCCCAAGCACGTCTTCTTCCACATCCACGGCAAGTCTGTGCGGTAAGTGTCACCACCTTGTCTCTGAGGAGCCCCCAGGGCGCTCTGTCCTGGGCAGAGCTGTTCTAACCCGCAGTGACCCTGACGCTGCCCTGAGGCAGTGGTGGTGCCTTCAGATGCACGGTAAGGCTGCTAATCGGAAGGCGGACGGTTCAGAACCAGCACTCTCACCAAGAACGCCCAGCCTGCCTGCGCCCAAGCACATGGCCTTCCCCCAGGGTTATCAGAACCTGTGTGCTCCTGGCCCCCAGGTGACCAGTTCAGCCATAGGTGCGACTTCCTCCCAGCAACCACTGCTTCACCTCGCTCGCTTTTTTTATTATTCTGGGTCACCACCCCTTTACCGCCTTTCAAGCCTGGTACCCTGCATTCCATGGAAGTGTGTTCTGGCATTAAACCTGGGTGACGGGGACGTGGCCTCACCCCGCTAACCCCAGCACTGGTGCTGCCTGCTCTGCTCGCTCCCAGGCTCTGTGGAGGCAAAGAGAGGGTGCAAAGTGCACCTCAGCTGCTCTGCAGTTCACTGTCCCTGCTGGAGTTCGAGGAAGGGCAAATGGGGGGCAAGGGGCAGTGTGGGGAAGCCAGCCCCCCATCAACCTCACCTCTAGATGTTGCCAGGTTGCCCCGTCACCAGCGTGTCATGCGGGACAGGCCTGCATGTATCCAAAACCACTACCCAGCCCTGAGGGGCTCACCTGCGCTTCTCCTGAGGCATGAGCAACAGACCCTAAAGCAGGTACCCCAAGGTCTCATCCCCCCAGGGCCCCGCCCACCCTGGAGCACTACCACCAGCGCAAGCTCTCACTCGATACCTAGTGACCACTCTCCCAGAGCAGCACTTTCAGCCCCACCGCTCCCTCTTGAAGGCTCTGCCTCCCCGCCCCCCTCGCTCCATCCCCAAGTCTCCACGGACATCACCAACAGGGCTGGGTGGATCCACATGGGAGCACTGATGGCCCCAGGCTCCAGGTCCATCAGCTAGGGGTCTCCCTCTCTGTATCACACCCAGTGTCACCTGTGCAGGTACATCGCAGCCAACGAGGCAGTCACAACTGCCTGCAACACGTTCACGCTTCTCCTGACCACGGCCTCTGCAAAGCCAGCTGCCCCCCAGGCCTCTCAACACCTGGGAGGTCTATGACAGTCTACTCTGCAGGGGACTGTTGGCCACCCTGGACCTGCCCAGTTACTCCTCAGGGTGCCTCCAGTCACGGGATGGAGGAGACGTGTCCTCAAGCACACACCTATTTGTGGCTACCCTGTCATCTGCTCCTCCTACCGGCTCGCACACTCCGAGAGAAAAGAGACAACGCTGACCTTGTGCATGACCACACAGACAGAAGTCACCCCAGGAACAGGAACACAGAGCTCACACCATGGATGTTCCTCTTTCCTCAAATCCTGTCTTCAGCCCAACACAGGCAGCAGGCAACATCTTCCCAGTAAACAAACACCATTTATGTTTCAAAACATGCTTTGGGAAATAAACCAAAACCAACAACAAGAACAACAAGAAAGATGCTCTGGGGACCACACGTACCTGCGGGCGGGGCTCTCGGCGGCCCTGGGCAGCACCTGCTGTCTGAGGAGGTGGCAGGACAGGTGGGCTCACTGGTCTCAGCCCAGGAAAGTCAGCTGTCATCCTCTGCTCCTTCAGGGCTAAACAGGGAAACATTTTATCATAGACTAAATGTTGCTGTTGTTACGTGACTCATAGCGACCCTATGCACAACAGCCCTAAACCCTGCTCTCTCCTGCGCCAACCGCACTGCCTCTGACACACCCATCCCGACATCAATCAGTCCCGGCGAGAACTACGACGACAGCAAAGTGCGACATCAATCCGTCTCATAGAGGGTCTTCCCCTCCTGCGCTGTCCCTCCGCCCTCCCAAGCATGATGTCCCTCTCCAAGGACCCGTCCCTCCTGACAACATGTCCAAAGTATGTCAGACGGAGCCCCAGAGCCCGGTTTAACCCTCTCCAGGATGAATCTGTTCTCCTAGCAGTCCCTGGAACCCTCAATACTCCTCTCCAGCACCACGGCTCAAAGGCGTCCACTCTCCTGTCCTCCCTGGTCATTGTCCAGCTCTCTGATGCGTAACAAGTGATTGCAAACGCTAAATAGCCAATAAAAGAAACTAACAAGAACAAAACGGACTTAAGGTGCTTCTTTAAGGACAGCTCCTCCGACTGGACCCAAGCACCTGGTCACAGGCCTTCCCGTCCGGGTCCCTGACTGCCACCCGGAGAGCAGGGGCCGAGTGGACGGCAGCAGTTCAGGTCCACCCGCCCGCAGGACACAGGCCATTTCCCACCCTGCACGCCGGACCCTGGGTGAGACCCGGGGCGTCCTGCCCGGCCACGCCCACCGGGCTGCCCGTGACCACCGGACACCGGCCATTTCCCCTCAAGCTTCAGACGGGAGGTGACCAGAGCCGCGCCCACTCGCCTGGCCTCGCCAGACCAGAGCCCGGGTCCCCCTGATGTGACCCGCAGAGTCCCGGGGTCATCAGGGTCACGCAGCCGCTCCGCGAGACAGAAGGGCCTCCCGCTGCAGACACTGGACGTTGCGGCCGCCTTACCGACGGTCACCGCCATGCGCGCTGGTGGACGGCGGGCCACGGGCTCGAGGTCAGAGGACGACCCGGAGGTCAAGCCCGGGGTCACCGGATGACCCGGAAGTCCAGCCCGGAGGTCAGAGGAAGACCCAGGGGTCAGAGGATGGCCCGGGGGTCAGCGGGTCAGCCCGGAGGTCAGAGGACGACCCGGGGGTCAGGGGATGACCCGGGGGTCAGCTCGGAGGTCAGAGGACGATCCGGGGGTCAGGGGATGACCCGGGGGTCAGCGGGTCAGCCCGGAGGTCAGAGGACGATCCGGGGGTCAGGGGATGACCCGGGGGTCAGAGGATGACAAGGGGGTCAGCGGGTCAGCCCGGAGGTCAGAGGACGATCCGGGGGTCAGCGGGGCAGCCCGGAGGTCAGAGGACGACCCAGAGGTCAAGCCCGGGGTCACCGGACGACCCCGGGGTCAGCGGACGACCCGGAGGTCAGCGGGGCAGCCCGGGGGTCCAGCCCGGGGTCAGCGGGCTCGCACCTGTCCAGTGGTCAGCCGAGGTGAGGTAGGACAGCAGGCCGCAGACGAGCAGCAGGGCGAGGACGAGGAGGACGACGTTCCGCTGCAGCCGCGACAGCTGCTTCCATCTCTGGGCGGGAGAGAGAACAGGACTGAGCGTCCGGCCCGACCTCCGCGCTGGCCGGGGCCGCGGGGCCGGCGGACAGCGGCGGGGTCACAGAGGAGGCCGGCGGCCCCCCGACAGCCCTCCGGCCGCCTCCGCCGGCGAGCGGCCCTCACCCTCCAGCAGGAGCGCCGCCGCCGCACTTTGCTGTCGTCGTAGTTCTCGCCGGGACTGAGCGTCACGGAGATGAAGTCCCGGCGCGGCGGCGGCAGAGACGGCGGGTGCATGGCCGCGGCGGCCACGGAGGGCCCCGCTCACCGACGACGTCAAGAGGCGCGAGTCCGACCGCCACCGAGAGGCCCGCTTCCCCGACACCCGCGGGCAGCCATGGTACCTCGGTCGGAAGGCCTCCCATCCTGCCGCGCCCCCAGTGCGCACGCGCAGAGCCCGCGGGACACGACGCCTGCGCGAACCACGCACGCCACGTAGCTCCGCTGGTTCCGATCACGCATGCGCACGGGGCGCACATGAGCGGTACGCTCACACGCCGCAGCGCTTGCGCCGCCTGCAGCCTCCGGGCCAACGCGAGGCGCATGCGCAGATCCCTCGGGAGCGTGGCCGTGGCCGCCGCGATGAAGCTGGGGCTCTTCCGCCGGGAGAGTGCTGGGTCGTGGCTCCTCCCACTCAGCGGCAGGGCCGGGCTTTAGGTGCCCGGGTGTGGCCGGATGGGGAGACGCCCAGGCGGGAGGAGCGCGGAGGCGGGGTCGGGGCGCCGTAGTTGCCCAGGAGTGGGGACCGGGGCGACCGGCGGTGGGGACCGGGGCGACCGGCGGTGGGGACCGCGGCGATCGGCGGTGGGGGCCTCGGCGAACGGCAGTGGGGACAGCAAGGCTGGACCACCTGGCGGCGACGAGGCTGACCAGACAGCCGACCTGGCCTCGGACCCCGCGCGAGGTCATGGACTCGAGAGAGGACCTGGAGCGAGGACACGGCGAGGGACGACGCGGGCCTGGCCACACGGCAGGTCGAGAAGGACCCTCTCCCATCCGAGGGACCGGCCATGGGGTGCCCTTGTACGTGGTAACCCCTGACAAAACGATCTCATTCTCTTTGTATCCAGGTTTCTGGGTTCGTGGGACTTGGGAGACCCACCCAGATTTTGCTTTATTTTTTTAAATTTTTTTTTGTGTGTACCGTCAAATCAGATCCGACTGGTACAGGAGATTGGCCCTCCTTCTCCAGCAGAGCATCTGGTGGATTCGAACCGCCTACCTCTGAGATTGCAGTCAGATTTTGCTTTAGAAAGTCTTTAATAGGTCTGCGCAGCCCGCTTGGAGAAGCAGGACTCCAGGGTCTGACTAGTTTGCACTGGCCCAGCGCCATCCTCTTGGGCTCTGCCCTGCTCGTGTCACTCTGCACTGTCAATCCAGCTCCTTCCTCCCTTCCACATTACTGAGGAGCAATGCTGTCAGTTTGAAAAAAAAGGTGTGCCTGATTCAAGCCATGGTCTTGCTATGTATCTGAGAGCTGGGCAGTGAATAGGGATGAAAGAATCCGTGCCTTTGAGTTTGAGGTGTTGGAGAAGAGTCCTAAGTATCCTATGAACTACCAAAAGAAGGAACGGTAAAGTCTTGGATAAAGCACTCCTTCGAAGAAAGCATGACGAAGCTTTGTCACACATACTTTGGGCATGGTGTTACTGTTAAATAAAATGAGAAGAAAGAAGCTGGTCCCAAGAAACGAATATTGCGTGCTCTAAGAGGGACGCCAAGTGACCGTCTGACCACGAGGTCAAAATGGCACCAGGGCAGTCAAGGGTGCTTTCTTTTTATAAGGTTTTAGGGAAAACTAGGAAAGATGGTATCTTGCTTGGAATTTGGGATGAGAGTCCTATTAACTTGGGTGTGGGCTTTTGTGATCAGGCCTAGAGCCTTACCAGGATAGTCTCTGGTCTGGTCTCCTTAAACATCATCGGGCCTCCTCAAGGGGTCATCAGGCCTGGGGGCAACTGTGACATTCTTCCTCCATTTAGGAGGGCCTGTTCTGTGGAAAAGGACATCATTCTTGGAAAGCTGGAGGGCCAGCAAGAACCCCTCAATGAACTGGATCGATACAGTGCTGAAACGGGCTGGTGTGAGTGGTGGATGGTGAGGATGGGGACAGCTAGGACAGGGTTCACATGTGTTGTTCACAGGGTCACTATGAGTTGTGCTCAACTTGATAGCACCTGATGACACAAGAAGCCCAGTGATGTCAGTGCAAAGACTGAGGTGCACCTGATCCAGGCTACGGCCTTTTGGATCAATTGCTGAGCATCTGAGAGCTGCACAGTAAATAAGGGTGACACAAGAAAGGATGCCTTTGAGTTGTGTTGGAGAAGAGCACTGAGTAGCTTAATGAACTCCCACGAGAACAACTAGATACGTCTTACAGAAAGTGCAACCAGGGTGGTTCTTACAGGCAAGGAAGGCAAAGCTTTGTCTCACATGTTCTGGACATGTTGTTCTGTTACGGACCATCTAGTGGGAAGCAGCCCAGAGCTGACACTCCAGGGAGTTTTCAGAGCCAGTTAATCATGCCTTCTCCTGCAGAGCAGCTGGTGGTTGGTAAAACGCCAAGCCACCACAGCTCCTCTTGGGCATTTTTTAGGAGGTGCTACTGCTTGGAAAGGAGGTGGTTCAGGGAAAGAGGAAGACTCTGAACAAGACGGACTGACACCGTGACTGCAGCAGTGGGCTCCCATGTGTCAGGGATGGTGGCGATGACACAGGGTCACTGGGTGTCACCTAATGCTGGCTGTCATTGGTGACTAGTGAGCCCTGTAAGCTTGCCCACGTGGTCAAGTTCTTGCTTTGGCCCCGCCCCCTGCTGAGCACCTTCCCCCTACGTTTGGGTTGTTGCCCCAAACACCCATTAAAATGGAATTCCATTTTAACAATGAATAAGTTGTTGCACTCATTTCTATCTTCTACCAGAGCATTTAGGGTTCTTTAAAACATATATCCTTGTGCAAAGTCCAGGCCAGCAGTCTTGGCAGGGTAGAGGGACAGCCCACTCGCCCCTGGTGCTGCCTGGGCCTACACGTCCCAGCAACCCCACCTACTTCTGGGATGAGCCCATGGCTTCCTCAGCTCTCCTGGGTCCCAGGTCTGGAGCACTTCACAGCCTGTGCAGCTCCTGCTCAGCCCCTAGCCCATCCAAAACCCACATGAAAGGCCCTCCCACTTTCCTGGCCATCTCTTCCCAAGCACAGCTCTGTAGCATTCCCAGCCCTATCCTCAGAAGTCCCTGCCTGCAGCAGTGGTTACCAGGGGAACTGGAGTTTTCTGTTCAAAACGAAGTACAAAGGAAGTACAGGAAGAAGAGTCAGTAGACTGAGGTGGGGACCCTGAACCTGCCCCTGGAGAGGCCATCAGAAGGGAGAGCCCATGCCTCTCCAACATCATCCCTCTCTGGCCAAAAACCACCACAGGGGAGGGGTCCAGTCAGCACACTGTTTATTCCGAACAGGCATGAGGACAGGAAGGGCTGTTTTCCAGCTGATGATGGGCTATTATCTCATCTGCACAGGTGAAAAATGACATCATCACCCCAAGGTCAAGTGCTGCTTTGCAATGCTACGATCACATACAGGTTGAGCACTGAGGGCATCAGGGAAGGGTGCCTGGTGCCTCCAAACTGTCCTGCAACTTTAAGGAGACTCCAGTATATGAAGCAGAGAGGCCAGCTCTTTGGTGGGTACTTAGCAGCCCATATCCACTGGGGAGGGGGGCTACACATGAGAGGGAGCTAGAGTGTCTCCAGGAGGGCCTGAGTGGGAAGGGCCTTGATCACAACGACCCTCCTGAACCCAGGACCTCTGCTGGACAGTAGGGGGCTGACGGGTGGGGGCCTAAGGCACACAGTTGACTAAGACTTCATTCATCCTCCAAGTTTCTGGTCTAACAGCCATAAGGCGTCACCTGACGCTGTTGCCTTGCCCTCTTCCTGCACTCACCCTGGGTCCATGGATGCACCCAGTAGGCCCTGAGCACTGTGGTGAGGAGTGATGGCAGAGGGCACAGTGACAGCAGCAGATGAGGTGGAGGGCTGGCCTTCCTCAGCACAGAAGTAGGTGTCCTGTCGAATTCCATTGCGGAGGGTCACAGCAGAACCCTGGAGCTGCCTCAGGCCCCGAGAGGCTGACGAGGGGAGAGGCCAACCCCTGGAGTCCACAGACAAGCGCCCTCCTTGGTCCTGAAATGCTGAGAATCTCCTCTGAGGCCCGCTTCCAGTCTCATCTCCTCCAGGGCTCTGGGATCGGCCAGGAGCAGCTAGTCAGGGCCCTTGGGATCGCAGAGCCTGGGCCTGGACCTCATCCAGCATGAGAGGGGACTGGAACACCCTGTCTCTCAGGAACTCAAGACCCTGCAAGCAAACAGGCCATCGTGTCCTTCCTCCCTCATCAAAGCCTTTCCCTGCTGGCCCACCCCTAGGCTGGATGAGTCTTTCCACCATGTTCCCCGGGCTCTCAGTCCCCTGCAACTTGTACCCACTGTTCCTGCTGGTAAACTGAGGCAACATGTGAACTCGGTACCTCTGCACCCAGTCCTGACCCCGGAAAGCCCAGAGGATTTTTGTGCTCACCTCTCCAGAATAAGACACTAGGGGTGAGATCTCGCAGACAGCTGGGGGGTCTTCACTGTCTGGCAGCCTGGGGCAGGGGACAGCCATTCATTAGTGTCTCCTGCCAAGAAGTCCAGCCAGAGGGTCCCCAGGACCCCAAGGCTGAGCATCAGTGAGTCTGGCCACGGGGTCCCTGGTCCTGCCCCATGCCCCCCTGTCTGGGACTGAGCACCACTAACAGATCTGAACACAGGGTCCCCCTACGACTCCCACACAGCCCTGCCCAGAGCTGAGCAGCACGCGCTTGTCTTTCTCCGCCTTTCTCTTTTTCTGGCTTCTGAGCCTGAAGCCAACCTGCTCCAAGCCAAGTGATGTTCCTCAAGTCAGACCAGAAACAGCCCCAGAATCCTCCTCGAAGGGCCAGGGTGGCCAGCCTGAAGGCGACTACAGCCACTAGGCAAGGCAGACAGTGAGCACGGAGTCCTCCCCCACCCTGCCCAGCTGTCTTCAGAATTCAACAAAGCCCACCCGGACCCCAAAGGCTCCACTCTCACCCTGGTGATGCAGGGAGTAAGGCCCCATGGGCATCCAGGAAGCGGGCACCGGCCTGCAGGGCCCAGCAGTAGTGTTGTGTAAGCAGGGCACGCCGGGCAGTGGAAGGACTGTCCCTGTCAGCAGAGTCTGAGTTCTTCAGCGGGGAGAACTCCTCCTCACGCTGCACCTCAAAGGCAACAAAGTTCCTACAGGAAAAGTCTGTCAGCAGCCTGGCCAGACACCGCGGGTGAGTCATGCCCTGGGTGACCCTAGTCCAGACATGGGGCAAGTGGGTCAGAGGCCCCGGGCGACCCTGATCTAGACGTGCGGGCGGGCAGGCCAGAGGCCAGTGAGCCAGGCATGTGCCCCATGAGCTCTGAGCAGCAGGAGGTGCCTCGTCCTTCAGGGTGGCCTTGACTCATATGCATTGCAGTTACCGAGATTCTGGGGGCTGGCAGGGGTCCTGTACAAGTACATCCTCCCACCCCCGGCCTGCCATCCTGCTCCTGGGGCCCCCAGGAGGAAGGCCAAGTCCTGGGGGCCCACTCACCAACTTGATCTACAGAAAGCCTCCTACCTCAGGTGTCATCAGATGGAGGTCCTGATGGTACCACTGGGGCCCTCAAAGTCCACAGCCCGAAGAGCCTCACCTGCCCCACATTGGGGACTGTTTTCTCTCTGACTCTCTCAGAAAACAACCCTTCCAGAGCGTTCACAGAGCCTGGGCCCACCCCCGACCCAGGGAGGAGGGAGAAGAAAGAGACGCTCTTATCACTGACTTTGCGAACGGAAACACATCGAACACGAACTTCTCCATCTTGATGGCGTTGGGGTGCTGCGGCTTCACCAGGTTCCCTTCCTCGTCCATGTAAGGGACTTTCTTGATGGCCACATGAAGCTTCAGCAAGGGTTCAAACTCCCTGGAGCCGGACGGGGCGATGGGTGAAAAAGATAAAAATGAAAGTCAGATGGGTCACGCCCAGGATCCCCCACCTCTCACAGCATGCCAGGCAGAGCGGGCAGGCAGAGGCACCCTGGTCCACAGGCCTTGGGAGAAGGCAGCAAGGGAGGCCTCCTTCTGCACCGAGACACCAGGAGCACAAGAGGCGGAAACAGAGGTTCATCAGAGTCTCTGGCTGGTCCTGAGCCGACAGCCAGGCTCTCAACATGGCACCCACAGCAGACACCTCCACTCACTGGCCCTGCATCTGCCCACCCCCGGCCCAGCCAGCAGCCCTGGCCATGCTCCCAGTCCCCGGGCTGCCCACCTGGTGACCGTGTGCAGGAATGCCCGGGTGAAGAAGTGGTTGCACACGTTGCCTGCACTGTAGAGCAAGCGCCCATCAGGTGCTCGCAGCTGTGTGACCTCTGGGCTGAGCTCGCTGTACTCCACCACCTGGGCCACGCCATCCACCTGGCACACCACGCCCACAGGTTCCTGGGGGTAAGCCTTCTCCACCACCTGGAGCCAAGACCAGGTAATGGGTTCCCAAGGTTGGGGCCAGTGAGCAGGGACCCAGCAGGCAGGGGTTCGGGCCAGGGGGCCAAGCTCACCTTGGCACCACAATCTGCACCTTGCAGCACACAGAAGCCAATGAAGACGGGGTCTGCCAGGCGCACCAGGATATTGTCCACGCAGTACACATGCACAAACTCCACGCCTCGAAGAGCCATGTCCTCCAGCACCTGGTGGTCCACCAGGGCAGAATACAGACCCCCATTGCCATCTACAAGGGGAAGAAGAGGGCTCCCAGATCCAGAAAAGAAGAGGACAGCTAGAGGCCACCACCCCGCCCTCCAGGGCACACTCAGGCCTCTCAGCCTCCCAGCCTGCAGTGCCACCATGATGCGGGCTGGGCCTTACCTGGGGCCATGGCGACCTTGTCTTTTCGCTCCAGGATGGCCCGGCCATCAAAGGTCACTGCAGGCAGCATGCGCTGTTCAAACATGACCACATTGGCAGGGTCCAGGTGGAAGAAATGATGCTTTCTGAAGAAGTCAACTGTGGGCCCCAGAGTGAATTCGCTTGTCATGATGTACCTACAGGCAGGTGGAGGCTGTCTCAGAAGGGCAGCGCAGGCTCGGGGGGCGGGGCCAGCACTGAGTCCCCCACTGGCAATCGGCTTGGAAGTTGGTCTGATGGGCTCAAGGCTCTACCCAGGGCTGAGCATGGGGTCAAAACTGGGTTGGTGTGGTGGAGGGCTGGAGTTCTATGACGTGTGGGCTGGAGGGCACAGGGAGGTCGCACCAGGGCACAGTACAGCGGGTCCCATATCGCTCGCTGGCTAGCTGCTCCACACGCCGAATGCGCTCAGCCTGCAGCTGGTACAGGGTCTTCTGGCTAGGCAGTCCCACCTGGTACATGCCCTTTGGGTAGCTCACGCCAAGACGAGTGCCCTGTCCGCCAGCCAGCAGCAGGACAGCCACTCTGTTCAGAGCAATCTGGCGGAAACCTGGGGACAGAGAGCAGCAAGCGGGACTACCGGGGTGGGGGGGGGCGGGCTCACTGCCACTCCTCTTTAGACACCTATGCCCTGGCTTCTGGACTCTGGTCGGAGCAGCACAGTTCAGTTAATGACCCAACATCCTCCCAGTGTCCTGCTCTTATCACCTGGAGGAGGCCCTGAGGGTGTCCTCGGCTCCCTGCCTGGGCCTTCAGGGGGCACCTGCCCCCCTGCCAGCCCCGGCCGGAGGCCCGGAGTGCCGGCGCTGGAGGCGCCAGTAGCGGAGCGAGGCCAGGGGGTGCGCGGAAGTGCCACACCCACCGGCGGCAGGGTGGCACGTGAGGCGGCGACCTCGCCACGGGGCGCGGCGAAGCCACTTCAACGAGTGGAGCGCGCCCCGCCTTGCCCCCAGCCCCCACGGGGTCCCGCCGCGGCTCGCAGACACCACCCTCTTCCCTACCTTCGTCCTCCCAGCGCCGGCGCGCG